TACTTTAGTGGCCATGTCTTCTTCAAATCTGCCAATGGGCAAAGTGTATAGAACTGTGGGAACGTAACAACTTATGAGGCCAGGAAAGACATTTAAAAGGTGAGGATTACTAAGTTTTGTTTGTTGTTGATGATCGTGCACGCAACAGAAACTTGGAAAATCTTGCCCGTGTTTGAAACCAAGTTGTCTCTTTTACCGATACACGCTAATACTTACTTAATGTACACGATTTTGTATTTTGTGCGAAAGTTCAGGGCTTTAACATCGCAAATATGAAATATGGCGTTAAACCTTTCTATGAAGCTTGAGAGGGGTTTTGTCACCCAAACTGTAAAACAATTGTACTTTCTGCATTTTCTCTGAGTGGGCTGTTTATTTATTTACCGTTCTCGGAAGAATCTTATATGGGTGCTTAAAGACTTAGATAAGAGTGATGACCTTGTTACTGTAAATTCACCGAAATCCATGGCTTGTATTTTTTGCGACGTCCGCAAACATCACCAAACGTTGAATTACTTTTGTGACAATTTTCTGGAGTGTAAAGTCACTTAAAAACCGTCAATTGTTTGTGAATCCTAAATTGAATTGGTGAAGTGTACATGTTCTCTGGCACGGGCCGTTTGTTTTCAAGGGGTCCTTCCGATTGTCATTAGTCCGTGATGTTCAGAATACTTTGAGCAAGAGTGGTTTAAACTCACTTACGAGACTATCACCCTCAGACTATCTGAGAAGAGTTACAGAGCAGCATGAACCTCGGCTTTCTTCGTATTTCTCAAGTTTCTAACCTTGGAATTTAAATCAAGTTAACTTTGGACAGGAAAATTTCACTATATTCCTCACATCTTAAAATCCGAACGAAAACAAATTTAACATTCCTCACTCATCAACATATGCATGTCGTTGCTAACGAAATCGTCTAAGATACCTTGAGATTTTTTTCTTGTTTCGTCACGTACCTGGGGTAGTTAATCGTTTTATTTTACTGTGGATATTAAGAAATTAAGATTACACATAATTTTTATAAAAATTAAGTAATAATGGCTACAACATCAAGCCAAGGTGAAATGGAAATCTTCCAAACGTGTGGGAAGCAGGATAGAGTATCAAACAAGTTTTCCTGAAAACAAATTATAAATACAACGTCACAATATACTTTTTTACGAGAAACGTGTCGAATGTCACTTCTTCGCAAAGAAAAACAGACCTCTAAAAATGAAAAGTATGGAAAATTTGCGCTCTCTGCGGAAAACTTATTGGTAACTTTCCTTCCTGCCGCACGCGTGCACGTAGTCACATCACTGAACGGAACTAATTGTTAGTCAAGTATATTTCCTCTCCTTGTAATCGTGACGACATGAACGTTTCCTCAAGTGTATATAAACTCAAATTGCATCCAGTTCATTTAAAGGCTATGCAGACATCGACGTGTATACCAAGCTTCGACTACAGAGGAATAGGTTTAAAGATTAAGTGAAATGGGTTCTTGTAGAGGAGGTGTGATTTTGAGACGTAATCCGTTATGCGAGAGACAAGAATTAAATTGGAAAAATTGTTCTACATTTACACATCTTCCAGCCAGGATATTTTACGGTACGTTAAATACACTCTCTAATAATTATATTTTGGTATTTGTGTTCTTGTCAGAACGAGACAAATTACCTCTCGCCTTTTGTAGTCATTTCAAGAGGAAACTGAGGGAAATTCGGTATGAAAGAAGTTTATATATTTCCAGTATTGATCAGATATAAATCAGTGTTCGAGATCATTTGGCTGTATTCATACGAACGGACTAAATAAAAAAATTAGCTTTAAATACTCCTCTTTCACCGGTGATCGTTGAAATTATCTCACGAGTTTGAAACAAACTGATCGACTTTGACAAACGAGAAAAGTTTAGACCCAGCTATAGTAGTACACAAAGAGTCACTTGTATATCGTAAATTCTAACGAGTTTCATATAGAACTCTCCATGTTATCAAAGTTCAGTCCAAGTCCTGTATCAAAGTTTAACTCTTTCGTAAACATGGACTTCGTTTACTTTCGTCTCTCTCAGCAAGAAGTCGCGTTCTAATACGTCCATCTCGTTGTTCATTTTGTATCGACTATGATTATCTGCACGATTGTAAAACAACACGTAGAAATAAGACGGCATGCAAAAGATGAATTGATTCTTGAAGTTTTTGATGCAAGCTGGAAAGAGACTCGTTCCTCAATTTTGTCAATACTTCGATCGTGAAGTTCTCATTACGAGAATATTGCAGGGATTGATCCATTGAATTGTAGTCTGAGTGTATTGTTTGCGAAGTTTTGGGAAAGTCCCTGCTAAAATTGCGATAGTCACATTCAGTTTCTCCCATTACATGGGTTGATTCGAAAATACAATTCTGCAAAATGTTGCGAGTTATTTCTGGTAAATGTGAGCTTTTGAAGTGAAATAATGAATCATTTCACTTCTCTATGGATCAGTGTTTCAGTTTAGATTGCTTAATAACGATAATTTGGACGAGTCGTACTGATTTTCGCTGAATTTACCAACTGTCCTTTGTGTTTTAGCTTGTTATTAAGAAATTTGGCGATTACAGTAAAGGGTTATGCAACATGGGCATCCTATTAGTATGAGACACAGCCTTTTCTCGGCGCATTAAATTTACCGTGGCATATGTGTCATGACCTGATTGTCGCATTTAGCTTGCAACGACGCACGGAGATAGCCCCCTAAAAGCCATAGAAAACGTGAAAAGTGTCTGACTTTCCGTTTCGAGGAGAGCTTTTAAAGGATTTCTTGAAATCGGGTCTCATCTGACCAATTCGTTTTCTTTTTGCCCTTAAACTCATAAAGTTCCTTGATGGCAAGCCTCCATCTTTCTCGGCCCAGATCGTGTTGATGATTCATAGGCGGACTCTGCTTGTTAAATGACTTATCGAAGCTATTGTAACGCAAAATCATGACTCCAAACTGATCCCGCCTCTAGAGAAGCTTTAGAAATATTTCTAGAGCTCGAGTCGACCAACATTGTATTTGGATTATCTTTCAGTGATAACTGCATTTGAACGGAACGCGCGCCTCTCCCAACACAAACACGTAGCGAACGAATGGATCTAAGAGACCATAAAATCAACAATAGTGAACACTGCGTTCATCGTGAATATATCTCGGTTAAGTTGTGAGGTTGGTTCAGTGAATGGGTTTCATTGGATTATTCCTTCGGTGTCGGCTTTAGGCAACATTTTCGCGCAGTGCGATATATGGACAGAAAAGACATGAAGCGATATTATATCGACTTTCCTTACCCCGCGAGTTAATATGGAAAATCTTTTTACTACAAGGAAGAGGCCTGGTATTTTGTGCAAGGCTCTCTGCACAATGAAGTCGATTGAAAAGAAAAAACTTCCATCTTAACTTGCTTGGAAGCGGGAGACCATAAAACCTCCTCCGACTCGTCCTCAAACACAGAACAAGAATAGATTGCCGTTCCCTTTTATTACGTATTTTGTTTAGTGGGAGTTATTTGGTGGCCGCTTTATGGCAAAAACACGATTTTTGTTCACGACATTTTCATTCTACACTTCGGTAAGGGAAAACGATGAAAAACAAGGAGAGAACGCAGCAGCCTGCACCGACATTGTGTAGACTTTTCTTCATTATATTAACCTGTCGTTTCTACTTAGAGATCTCATGTATTCCGAATTGCCTCTTGTGGTCGGCTTTTGAAAAAACTTTCTTATTGACTGATGAGTTAGTAACTTAGTATATATCTCGTGAATTTTTCAGTCTTTTGAAATGTCTGAAGTCTTGCAAGAGCAGCAGTTAAATCGCCCATCCCGTTAGGGTAGCCTGGACAGCACCGGGACGGGACGGGATGTAACAGGCGCTTATCGGAACCAATCAGATTTCAGGCTAACAGGGTAATTTAACATTATCAACTGAGTTGATAATATAAATTGGCCACCTCTCTGACGAAGGGCAAACGCTCGAAACGTTAGATTTGAAACTCTTTACGGTGGCCAATTTACGTTATCAACCCACTTGATAATACTTAATTACCCTGTTATACTCTCCCACCGACGCCGCACCACATTTCCCCCCCCCCCCCCCCTTCAATCAGATTTCTCTTTGACATGTCAAATCCGTAGCGGTCACACTGAGGAAAATATTAATTAGAACTATTTTTAGAACAAGTTAATGTAATTTTAGAGCAGGGTCAAAGTGCCCTTGACAGGAGAGATCAGCGGTGGGATGTACTACGTGAAAAGAAACTACTGTAGTTCTTTGCCCAGCACTCGTCTTTCGCCATCAAAAGAAAATAAAAACTGAAAAAAAAAATACATCACGCCATTGAGGCAAAAGGTTACAAAAATTTATCATAACAATCAAACTTCCTGTTGTGATTGCTGATCTTTGATTCAAATTAGCGCCAATGTCTTTGCGTGGGCGGGCAATAAAATCAGAAGACTAATGTCCATCTACTCTCGGTGAACCCGAAAATTTCGTATAGTATTTTAACGAGCATTCACTGCCCAAACATCCAGTCACTATCAATGATGGTCAGTATCTCTTCTTTATTATGGAAAATTACACAAATTTCATTGCGTATTCATGGCTTTTAACCTCGCGTGACTTTCTATGTATTGTTTACATCGTGACGTATTTGCATTGCGTTCGAATTTAGGGAAATCGTTATCAGACACGTACAGGCCAAGGGCGCTTGCACAACTCTCCCATTTCTTAGCAAAAGAACGGATTCTCTCCATCCTTTGAGCTTGAAGAGGCTATCTTACTTTAAAGAAAAGCTTTCCTAAATGGATTTATCTCCAAATTAGGGCTTGTTCGAGAAACATACAACGAAAACTCACGTTTTTTGAACCAACGCTCTGTTATGATCACGTGTTATGGCTGTCTGTGTTTACACGTGACCTAGTGTGTGACATGCAGCCGTAGAGTGACACCATTGAGTTGATTCTCCGATCGAATCTAAATTTGTTTTGTTTCACTTTGTCAGGCTCGTTTCTCCGTATGTCCTGCGTTAAATCAAGTAACAGAAACATGTTGTGCGATCTGTGCAACGAGAAAGCAGTGACGAGATGCCCATATTGTAAAACTGCTCAGTATTGTGGCGCGGAACATCGAAAGAGCGACTTTAAATTACACAAGAAAAAATGTATGGGGTTGCCTTCAGTGGAAAAGGAACAACAGTTTAGGGAAAATAGGTTAAATGGGTACACCCCGATGGACTTACTTCCAAACAGGTTTTTCGAGCGAGCGGAGTTTGTCGTGGATACGTTGAGAAAACAAGGTTACTGCTATCTAGACGATTTTCATGGTGAAGACATTGCACTAAAAATCCTCAGCGAAGTAAAGAACTTACATCAGAGAGAGAAGTTTACAGACGGAGAATTAGTATCTTCAAATGGGAATGGTAGTATGTTAAACAAGAAAATACGGGACGATAAGATAGCTTGGATAGATGGTAAAGAGGAAAATTGTCAAGCCATTTCGCATCATATGACAACAGTGAATACTTTGATAAGATTCTGCAATGGACTTATTGAAGAATACGACATAGAACACAGGACAAAGGTAAGAATGATATCTCTGTATACAGCACTTTGTTCGAACGCATTTCATTACAGCGACGTTGTACACATGTTAAACTTTTTATGGATTCGATTGCCCATTACACGAACAGTCAGATACCATGTTAATCTCCCAGGCGTTTTTCCGCCTTACGCTGTAGTTAATGAAGGATTTGTGCTTTTAATCCATTAGATACACTGCTGTTCTCGACTTTGTTCGAGATTTTCGCGCCGATTGAGATCTAAAAGGGTGAATTTTTATATTTTTTGCCGAGTCAAAGGCATTCGTTTAATGTCATGCACCTAATTTGAATTTTCTTCAGAAGGAAGCAATGGCCGTCTTCATATTTAGCTTCTGGCGCTCTACGTGCGTTCGATCACGTACTTATTCATTGTTACACGTGACCAAATTGAACAACTGAAGACAACATTTGAAAAAAATGAATTTTCTCGAAAAGTGTGGTTCTTGAAATCTCTGGCCAAGGGTCTCGTAGGCCCAACGACATATAATCTCTTTACAGTATCATAAGCAATATACATTTGAAATTCTTTTGCCAAGGTCAAGGGTGTCGAGATTTTAATTACAGAGACAACAAACTGGCTGAACAAGTATTTTGAAAATTTTAACTGTAGAAAATTTTTCAGATTAAAACATTTTGTTTTCCTTCATGATACATGGATCTTAACTGGAACTATAGATATTTTAGTATAATTTTTTTCCTAAGGGTATTTTCATTTCTATCACAAACTTACAACCTATTGTTGTGGTAGACTGCTACAGATTGCAATGGGAAATTTTCAAATTAAGAGATTTAAGTGTTCTCTAGTTAGTTTAACGTGCATTTGAATGTAATGTATCCATTGAAATTTCATGGTGGTTAAAAATTTTAATTTTTCCCATCTCTAACACTGGAATATGTTATGTACAATTTATGGTACTAGGTACCAATTATGAACTCCAACTTGGGTGTGAAGTAATGCATGCTCTTCCCACCAATTAGAAGTGTAGGGATAACCGCGTAAATAATCTCCAGAATCATGCAGTCTAGGCCAAAACCTTTCCCAAGGATTGCTGTTTTGTGGTCATGAATGAGAGGTTTTTGTGTTTGTTTTTGTTTTGAAACGTGAATTGTCACATGTAAAAGTGTACTGATGAATTATTTTGCATACTTATGTAATAGCTGGATTGTAACATGCTCTGGACAAGTGCTACCTCCAGGATGATTAATGAGTTTGAGCATACCTTGTCGATTTGTACCCAAGATACAACAATTTACATGTATGCCTGTAGACAGCTCAACAGTGAGATCTCGTTTCTATCACTCAGAAAGCTGTCAGGATGGTTAGGCATGACACTATCCAACACTAGAATTTTATTTAGAAAAAGAAAATTATAGTTAAAGACTTCTGAAAAATTTAGAGTAAAAACAAGTTTTCTTACTGAATAGGGGAGTAATCTTGTTGACTCAAGTTCTAATGCATCATCTTTCAGACCATTCACATGGAGTATAATCCAGTTAATTCTAGAAAGATATTAGTTTCAAAGGAAACATTTTTTTTTTTGCTGGGTCATTGGGCAAGTGAAACACTTTGTTGACTATCAACCAATTGTGGATAAACGGCTTAAGTTAGGTTTTAACAAGTGATGTTTTTGAGCACGATCTCTTCATTAGAATAAGGGGTTTCATCAGAACCTTGAGTTTTAGTCGCAATGTAATAATTTTGAAATTGCATGGATGAATACACATGTTGAATATTTCATTCCACAATTCTAGAATGTAGTTGCTCAAGCATGGACAAAGAAATACTGAAGTGTGTTTTGGGTTAATCACAACTGTTTCACACGTATCATGTGCATGTACCAGTTGAAAAGCTTCCTCAACTACACATAAAGCCATTTCAATTGAGATCTGACTTGGTTTTTTTCTTCTTTCTTTTTTTTTTTTCTTCTCAAAGTAGCAAACACCAGTGCTTGTAGATATTCAGTCGTAGTTCCCTGACCTTTGTAGCATTTACATTGCACCTCTGACTTGAAGACATCGCATAAAAATTTCAAAAGATTTTGTCATACACGATTTAAGATTCACATGTGGTTTGGTTCACAACCGATATTTCGATTTTCAGGATTTCTTTTGTGTATGAATGTGGATTGTGTTCTAGAAAGCTCTTTGGATTCAATGATGCGTTAAGGTTATGAGATAAATTCATTGAATGGGATATCTACAGGAAATTAGAATCTTTGAATTAATCAGTTTCAACCCAAAAGTTGTGAACTTTCATTGTTCTCTTTTTCCTGACGTCACTTGACTTTGACCCCGACACCCCATAAAGCACTTGGAAAAGAAAAGCCAAACAGATTGAAGAAACGTGATTAAACACGTGAGAGGAAGGAAACAATGTGCCAACACTTTGACGCAGAAGTCGCTTTAGAGGTCATTCTCTAAATTTGGGAACACCATTTAAAAAAAATGTCACATTCACAAAATTTGGGAATGGGTTGCTTTACTTAATTTATCCTAAATTAATTGAACATTCAGAACTACAGTTTATAAGTAAATATGCACGCAGCTTGTTTAATAAAACACTAAGTGGATCTTGTGCTTGATCCAGTTGGAAAAGAAGAAGGGCATCAAACAAATCCTGTTTGTTTTGACATATTTGTTACAAATGATGTTTGGTTTAAGCTGATAAATCTATCTTGAATGTGTAGTCTCATCAACTTACCATTCATGTACTTTTTGTAAAGACTTCTGTATTTTGGTTAAATCCAAAATGTAGTGCACTATGTTAGATCCTCTAGCTTTTCCTTAGGTGTAAGGTAACTAAAAATGAATTTCTCAAGAAATCCTCAAGTGACAAATGCTGCTGTTTTAACATGATATTTTGTAGAAAAATGAGCATTTAATCCTTAATCATGTTGATCCCAACATTTATACGGCTAGTCTTTGTCAGGCGAAAAGGTTGCCTATACCTTTCTTGGTTTCATATTTAGAAGGTTATAGTAATCTACTGAAGTCTGAACTTTAAGGGAAATTTAGGTGGTAGGATTGAAAAATCTTATGCTGTTGACCAAGGAATAGTCAGCAGTTATACATACTATTGATCATGTCCGTGGTAATATGGTATTTTCATTTCAGAATTAATAGGAAAGTAAAATTTACACAAAGAAGAAAATTTAGTTACTACAGGTGCTAAAGCTTTTCCTTATTATTATTGTGTTGACCAGAATTTCTTTTCTTCCTTGCTCCAAGCAGGCAATGGTGGCATGCTATCCTGGTCAGGGTACATGTTACAAAAGACATGTAGACAACCCCAATAAAGATGGACGCTGTATAACAACACTGTACTATTTAAACCCAGGATGGACAGAGGAGGTTAGTAGCTTTTCTATAAATATCAGTTCACCCTATCTTGTCTGGATTTTATGTAAGCCTTACAGAAAACTCAGACAAGGATAAAAAAAAACTACATTTCGGAAATGTAGTTTTGGGAGAACTGTGTATATTACCACCAGAATATTCTCCATTTCTAAATGAAAAATGGCTGAGGCAATCCAAATCTAGTCAAAGAAAACTGCTCAACAAGGAAAAAATTCTCTGATTGGTGGTATTTTAATGAATTCCCTCTCTTTTTTTGGCAAATTAAATTAGTTTTGTACATATTTTAGATGGATGTCTTGGCTAGTTTCTCCCTTAAGATACAGTTGTTTACACTATCGATGACAGAAAATGACCATTTTGTTTTACAGAAAGGAGGTATGCTAAATCTTTATCCAGGAGGCAGTGAAGAGCCAGTGAAAATTTTACCCAGACTAGACAGGTTACTCCTGTTTTGGTCAGATCGCAGAAATCCACATGAAGTGGCACCCTCTCATGACGTGAGGTTAGTTTACAACTCTTCCCTTTCTGGCACATATGATATATACGCAATTGTTTTTGTTGTATCAAGGATTCCAAACAAATTTGTTGTCAGTGTCATCAGCCGAAGTCAAAAAAAAAAAACCCAAACACAGTTGAGGTTATTGTCACAATCCTTGGTACCACCCTTTTGGTTATGATTATACTTTTCTTGATGTTTAATTACAATTTTTGTCATGATCGTCCTTATTATTATCATTACTATTATTATAATCGTCTTCCTCATTCCACCTTATCACTTTTACTAGAGCACTGACACTACCTCTTCTTTTGCTTGTAATCATCCTCACAGTATTTTCCTCCTCATTCTAATTTATTGCCATTTCGTAATACCTATTCTTCTTTTTAGTCTAATTAGTCGTGTAACCTTGTCAGGGACAGTGACAAGGCCCATGTATCATTTAAATTTGATTTAGGAAAGGGCAAAGTGTTTTGATTTTAATCAACCCTTTAACTCCCAAGATCTCATTAATAATTCTCCTTACTGTCTGCCATACAGTTCTTGTGATGTTAGTTTGGAGAATTTGGTATTGGATCAACCAATAATCCTCTAACTGATATTTTTCTTTATTCTCATCACTTGTCTGCTTGATATTGTAATGATATCTAAGGAGAAATTCTGTTTTGGTCACTCATGGGAGTTAAAGGGTTAAAACACCAGAGAATACATACTACTATTTCCTTTTTTTTGGCCTGTGTGTTTCATTAAGGGGTCAGAAGTACCTTATGTGCATTTTTTGCTGATCTTGAATTTGTTTTGTAAATAATGATTTTTTATTTTCTTCTCCTTACAAGATACGCTATCACACTATGGTATTTTGATAAAAATGAAAGAGCTAGGTTTAGAAGTAAGTGAATTTATTATTCTTTGAAGTACTATACTTACATATATGTTCAGGGTGAATTTGTTCTTTGAGTAAAGTATATTACATGTTCCTCTTCTCTGGTAATTTAAGATGATATGTTCAAAGGTACATATTGTATGATTCAGGATTATCTGTTTTCTGGAGGATTAAACACGACTCTTTCAATTTCTCAAAAATAATTCTTTTTTTAACTGTAGAAAAACAAGAAGAGGAGGAAAGGAAAAAAGCAATTTTTAGCGGACAGGTACAATACTTAAGTCATGCTTTAACAAATGGTCATTTTAAATTTTTAAGATATTAATCTGAAGAGTACCCCAGTACTAAATAAACTTCTTTACAGAAGAAGTACCCTTTTGACCCACATATAGAATTCTACTATAGAACATCAGTAGGTTAAATTCAAGCTCTCTCTCTCTTTTTTTTTTTTTAGGAAAATGGCAGCAACGAAGGAGGAGGCAAACAAGACCAGGAAATTGCAGGAAGTAGTTGAGATGTACATGCTGTTAACTTGTGACAAGAATTCTCAGTTGTAGTGATTGAACTCTCCCAGTCTGGGTTAAAAAAAAATACTTTGAAGACTGATGCTTAGAAGATTTCCTTTGTGTACTTTATTAGCCAAACTTAATATGTAACTGATAAAATGAGAAAGAAAGTAATGCTGTAAGCTTTGTTTACTGTTCATCAATAGGCTGTTGTAGGCATTCAGGTAGGAAAACTGGGCCAAAATATAAATGGCATGATAGCAGTGACAGAGCAATACCGAGGAAGGGTTGGGTCATTCACTATGCTACTCAACCCTTGTTTTGTTTTTGTTTTCACTCCTTTTCTGCTCTTGTGCTGTTAACTCTTTAACTCCCAGTACAGTGATTAACATGAAACTTCTCTCAGTGATATCCATACATTATTCAGCAAACAGGTAATGAGAATATTCAAACCTATCAGGAAGAAGCTGCTATCTTGATCTAGCACCAAGTTCTCATTACTAATTTACAAGGAAATGTGTAGCAGCTAGAGGGGAGAATTAACAATCAGATTTTGGGAGTTAAAGAGTTAACTATCACACTTTGGTTTCCTAACTGAACAGTCTGCCTGGAACAGAGTTAGTGCTTTAAAAGAATCTACCTCAAACAATAATGAATCAGTTGTATAAGTACTAGTAATGTGTTAAGGTGGCTTTGAAAGGAGCTTTGAGAGGAAAGGTAAATGCTTAACATACAAAACAACAAGGGAAAAATTATAATATGTTGTTTTTGTGTTGAACATGGATAGCTTCTCAATGTGATGTTCTTTTTGCATGTACTCCATGTAAGAAGTCAATTTCAGAGGCACCTTACATTTTTTGAAATGTGATACTTCTAAATTTTTACATCTTGTGGCACATTAGAATGTTTGTTCCACTGTGTACAAAATTCTGTGTAACAGTTTTATAGAAATGTGATCGTAGAATTATCTTAACTTACTGTAACTAGCTTTAAAGATTCTGTTTCAGTTTTTTTTGGAATTCTTTTCTTAATTGAGCCCTGAGGAAACTGCTTTTATTTATATAACTTAATCTTTTCAGATGCAAAATTATGAAATCCAACTTTTTCATCTAAAATGGCTCTTACTTAGTTTTGTAGCATGAGAGGGAATTGGCATAACATATCATTAACATATCATTAACATATATGACATATGTAAACTTCTTCACAAAATAGAAACTGTTTATGTGTTCAGAAAGCTAGCTGAAGTGATTACATTGTAAGTGATGAGTCTGGCTCCCTGTTAGGATACCTTTTTCACATGAGGAATCCATTTTGTCAGCTTTGCTTAAAATAATTTCAGCATTAATTGACTGGTAAAATCCTTAAATCGTATAATATTATATCATACACAACCAGATGGATATGCAATTTATTTGTTGCCAATCTGCTGAACACACAAGACTGATTCCTCTATGTTTAAGAGGTGACCAATCCCACCTACCATTAATTCAAAGCTTTTCAGTTGATGGCAAAAGGTACAAATATATAGCATTACTAATGGCTATTTTACTGTGAGGCCCAAGAAAAATATCTTAACTTTAAAAAACATACAGTCATATTCTTGGTTTATATATATATATCAGCATGGTTATCATAAATTGTTCTCACACTGTGAGGATGAAAAAGTTGGAATGGTAAAGGAAGTTTGACTGCAAGGTAGTGCTTGCCTAACAAAGATTAATGTTTAGATTTATATCTGGGATAGGTTAACAACAATGCATTTTATGGTTTAGTTCCTAAATGAGAAGAAAAACAGCAATTTAAAAAGTCTTAAATACTCAACACTTTATTGTTGTTAAATATTTCCTAATGTGCTTAAAGTAAGGATGAAAAATATGTTGGTTTGAATCAAAAGAGAGCTAAATTTGCTGCTTTGGAAATGTGAATATGTGCATCCGTGTATTGTTTGCAGATTTGCCTGCTGTCTTATCAAAAAAATAAAAGTCACATCAAGAAATTATTAAATAAATGTACATTGAAACTAACATTTTGGAAATTTAATCATTTCTTCAATTGATATTAAGACTGTCAGAAATTAGAGTAGAATTTTCATATATTTGATTCCTTTGTGTAATTTGTTAGAACCTTTGAATCCAACTCAATATCTGATATTGGTTTATTAACTGCTATGAAGAGAGAACATGATAGACCTCTTTCATAGATGGTGGACTTAACCATTTACATCCTAAAATCAGTATGCATATTCTTCGTACTGCTTTTTATACATTTCCAAGGGTGCAGACAAGGAGAATTTGTTTACCAATCAAGAGTTTCTTTTGTTGGTGATCATCTCCTTTATTCTCATGGCCATCATATGTGAGTCAGGGGTGATATTGTGGGGAGAAATTTGATGCTAGTCACCCTTAGGCTTTAAAGAGTTAATATTTCTTTTACATTTATGTCAATTAGCCTTTCTGGCCTCTAAAACATGTTTATGGATCAGGAAATTCTTGCTCTAAAGGGAGGCCAAGAGGACTTGCTTGCATGCACGTAAGCTTAAAATAATAGTAACACTTGTAGCTCCACCATGAAAGAGGTCTTCAGAGGAAATACATCATCTAAAGAGTTTCAATCCAATTTTTTTCATGCCAAACCATAAATCTCTTTTTTTTTTTCTACTTCCACCTGTCCTAGGCCAGTGCTTTAGGTAGTTTTTCCTATTTTTTCTCTGGTAATTTGGAGCTCAATTTTGTAATTAGTTCTAGTCCAAGCAATGAAACCTCGAGACATGAGAAGATTTTGGCACTTTTTAGAGTATATATAATATACAATATAAGATATGATTAATTGAAATTGAGTCTTCTTTAACATCAAGTCTCCCAAAAATTACATCCCATTCTGTCAATGTTTCAACATTAATATAGTTATCTTTAAGCCTGGATAAGACGTGTTTTCATGACGAAAGTGATGGGAGCTCAGGGATTAAGGCAGGGAAGCTCAGGGAGGGTGGGTGGGGAGGGAGTATGGTGCATTCTGTCAGCTTTTTTTATGTCCCTTAACCCTTAACTCCCAAGATCTTGTTAGTAATTCTCCTTACTGTCTGCCGTATAAATCTTGTGGTGTTAGATTGGAGCATTTGGTATTTGATCAACTAATAATCCCCTAATTGATACTTTTCTTTTCATCTCATTCAAGTGATTCATTCTCGTCACTTGTCTACTTGATATTTTATTGACAGTGTAAGGAGAAATTTTGTCTTGGTCACTAATAGGAGTTTAAAGGTTAAGACTCTAACCTACTTTTCTCTCCATTTTCTCTTCTATAGACTTGTAGTTCTGATCACATTAAAATAAGTTTCTTATCAGAGCTAAAATGAATTTCCCTGGTGATTTAGAAAAGATTGATTGTAAGGCTTTACACTTAAAACCAACATGTTCTGATGTTCCTTTTTGAGTTTGTGCCTTGTGTTTACAACTATAAATGGGCTATTGCCTGTTTATTAGAAATAAAATGTTTCCTACTGGATAAGTTTAAAATTTTCGGGTCTCAAATTACACGGTGAGTGATGGGATGGTATAAAATATTTGATTAAGGCTGCATGAAGTTTTTTTTCTTAAAAACTTGGAATTTCTAAAGGATAGATTCTACTAATATTTATTAAAATATTAAATTCTCAATACTTTTTTAGGCGGTTTATCATAATTTGAGTGTTGAGTATTTGTACACAGTTTATTTCTGGAAGGGTTAAATTTTGTATGCATTTGAATTATGTAAAAGGCCTTTCTTTGTGCCATAAAGAAACATTTGAATACAGTAACTGTTAAAGTAATCAAAAGCAGTTCTCTAGGTGTCATTGGGAACTTTACAACTAGTTAGGAAGTGCTGACCAGGCTGGCTAGGTAAACAAGTTGTAGGGTTTTTTCCAGAGTCTCTTGATGTTTTGTAAATATTCCAGTGGCAAAATTAGGGTGGTAAGTATAAATAATGATTTGGTCTCATAGTGCTGGTTGATCACAGGTTTCCCATCCTTTTGGGAAAAGTCTGGTCTACCTGTTCTGGTCACTGTTAAGTTGCCAAGTGAAGTCAAAATATGTGGACAATGTAATGGATGCATTGTAATGGATATATTTTTCATGAGAGAAATTTATTCTCATTACAGTTCCTACAATTGCAAGGACAATTATCTGCAACTAGTCTTGGCAAACAAGAGTCTTCAGGTTGGTGATCCTTAGTGTTACTTAAAAGATTCCTATAGGGAAAATTTCTTTGAAACGACGGAAGAAGTGATGGGAACTTGTAATTCATGAGATATGATGTCCTTTGGATTTCAAGGGATTTCCTACAGGGAGAGGTTGCAGGGACTTCACGCTTGTGTATGACGTCCTTAACAACATTTTCCTAACTAAGAAAAACTTACTGATCCCAGTCCCCTAATTCTAGAGGAACTGAGGAGGACTACGACAGATGCACCCAAGACTGATCATTTGGTAATGTAGCTAAGAGGGGAGGGGTTCAGAATGTGTGAGACCCCCCCCCCCACCCCGTCCGTCCCCTTGATACAGGAAAAGTTTAATTTACTAAGTAAAAAATCAACTTGATTCCTCTCTCCCTCAATGCAGTTAAGACTCTAGTATAGAACTCCTTTCTACAAGAAGATCCTTTCCAAGCTATGGAATGAGGGAGGTGGGGGTGGGGGGGGATTTTAATTTGATCAAGATGCATGCTATCTCTAGTTATTTTTTTAAAGAAGTTTGCGAGTTGTCGGCTCTTCTTTTTGCGATGTTATGAGAACAGAAGATCAATACAGGAAGTGGATAATGAAAACACCGGAAGCTTAAAAAAATTACCTTCGCAAAGAAATGTAAAATCCACGTTTTCCCTATCCCTCGGGAAATTCCTTTACTGAACAGTTCCGTTCCCAGAGCCACTCGTTTACATTCGCCGAAGAACCTAAAAGCAAATAATTTTCTGGGAACGAGAGTATTGTCTGCCCGGTTTTGTGATGATTTCAACAAACAGAAAAGCACATTGGCAACGTTTTTCAAGCACCGGCATTTCTAGAGTATTCGCAAATTCCCAGTAAATCGGAACAGGAACTTTAATATTTCTCAGAATTGATGCCATATCTATCTAAAAATATCGAACCAATGAAATTACCGCAAATATGCATTTTATTAGTCTTTTACGTCATGCGGCAAATTCCAGAGAAAAATCGAACAGGACGAGTATTATAACGTATAATACGCCTATAATATAGGCGTATTATACGTCATGCGGCAAATTCCAGAGAAAAATCAAACAGAAAGAGTGAATTTCTGAGGATTGAGAATTTAATGTGAATTACGTCTCCTTCGCAATTAAGGGATACTCTGAGCTTTTAAGTCTCACTGATCGTTGTTGTTTTTCTGTTCATGGATAAGAACATGTAACTCGCCTAAAGGTAAGTTAAAGCTGCAGTCCTGTAGCCAAGTTTGGCAAGGTTGGCATTATTGGATTGTTGCGAAACCACTCTGAAACAATCGTTTCGATCGTAAGCACGCTTTTAGCTAGAGTTACATTTAGTGATCACTATAATTACTATAATTCAAACAGAATTCGAACAGGATTCTCATTTAGATGTCTTCTTTACTTAAATTTTATATATATATAGATACATGCTTGTATGCAAAATTTTTCAGTGTGTATATTGCATAGTATTAAATATTTATATCTGGAGTATAGTTTATAATGAGGATTAAGTTCCTCCCTTCTATGACCCTTTTTTAATAATATGTTATTATTTAAATAAAGTTGTCATAAATAAATAAACTAATTAATCACTAGAATTACGATAAACTGAGACGGGAATGCTCAATGTCTTATGTTTATTCAAGTTTTTGCTTTAATGCCAGAATGATCTCGGGTGGTCTAAACAAGAGTAATTCATCAGAGCAATTCATCAGAGTAATAATAATAATAATAATAATAATAATAATAACGACTTATTGACTTTATTTCGATATGGTAGCTCTAAATCCGTCATACTAACTAAAAACTAACGACTTACATAATGCACATAATGTTATTCAAGAAACCTTCACTATTTACATAAAGCACCTAACAACTGTTAAACGTGGTCGATGAGCCTCAAAGAGGAACGGTAAAGAAACCGGTCGAGAACACCTTTTCAAAGTTAAATAGAAGTCCTGAGTGATTTTTATCATTTTACGGTCAACTATGAGCAAATAATTGCGAAAAAATTTGACTCAACTCTTGGAGAGCCTGTTTGGGCAGGCAGGCAGGCATAACGTGAGGGCCAAAGGTTCATCGGGTTGTTTTTATCTCAGTGTTACCCTATTTAAATTAAATTAACTGCTTCTTACCTCTTTTGATGCTTCTTTTGGTTTTAACGGATCATACCAATAAATGTGTTGCGATATATTTGCCCCACAAATTAAAAAATATCTCTTGAAAAATGAATCTAAAAAAATAGCAGGTGAGGGATATTATTTTTGAAAAAAAAAATCATCTTGCTTTGAGACTAAACTTGGCATACAGGTCGATGACAACTGACAAGAAACTTTGGCACTGAACCTTACAATACTGCATCATTTGCCTGTTTTTATTGGTTTAATGCAGCTGGTAATTCAAGCTTCACCAAGTAAGATGTTACAGCAAAGTACTTATTTAATCGTTTGCCTTTGCATTTTAGGGACATATTTTTAGGGATATATTTTTCTAGTTCAAAGGTTGAAGTCCGTTTATAAATGAATTCCTGCCATATTCCTCTTTTTTTGTTATCCTTACTTCCCATTATAGATGTCTCGTGATAATCGGAACGGTCGGAAGCGCGGCTACGAAGATAATTCGAAGACCGACCATCACGCCCCGAAACGACGACGAACAGATCGTAGAGAGGACACGAACAGTGCACCATCTCCAATAGGATTCAAATATTTGGAAGACATTTGTAAAGAGGGAGTCCCAGAAAATGCTATTTTAGGCTTAGTTAGTAAATCTCAGAGGTTCGAGGCGCTGTTGGCTCAAGACGAAATACGACCCGACT